GGCGGCCAAGAAGGACCTGCTGGGCATTATCCAGCTAAAGGTTAGCGCAAGGGTACCATGGCTTGAGATCCAGGGGCCATGCTGTTGTACCTTTGAGTGTGTCGTTAGCTTTCAGTGCCATGGCTGTATGCCTAGCTGAGCACAGCAGGCTGCGGTGTGAGTTATTAAACAGGAATGGCATCTGCTTTTCTCCCGCGGTTCCTGTCTCACTGGGCTCCAGGACCCCAGCCTGCTAGAGGGCAGAGTGACGCTGCACCAGGTCAAAGCCGGATCCGTGGTGGCCCAGCAGGGTGATCAGGTGACCTTGCTCCTGAGCTTGGCATGCTGCCTGAGCTGATGTTAAAGTGAGCGTGTTTTTAACAGAGTGTATTGCACCGATGGCCGAATGAAGCTTCATGAACCACTTGCTGTATTTTCTGACCCCACTAAATGGTGCTCTCTGTTCAAAAAAGGGCACAAAGCATGCCCCAAGCAAACCAAGAGCGCCATCTAGTGCGGTCAAAAAATACAGCAAATGGTTCATTAAGCTTCATTTAGCCATCACTAGCCTGTTGTGTAGATTTGGGGTTCCCAGCCTTTTGGTGTCTGTGGACTGGTATACATTGTACAAAACGGTCACTGTAAAAAGGAGGGGGAGGGTGGAATTTACGGTGGATTGATTGCCGATTATATCAAGTTTAACCCGTGACACTTTTCTGATGCAAGCAAAGCGGGTGAATGTGAAGGGATGTAAAACAATGAAAATGTATAATTATTTTTTCATAATTAACCAACCCCTCCGCAAAACCACCCGCTTTCTTGACCCAGTAGAATACTGCCCATAAACTGGTACCTGCATTTGGACCAGGGCTTGGGAACTCCTAGCATAGATAATTGGCTATCCCATGTTTAGCTTAACGGACCATGAAAACGTAAGCTTAATTTCCGATGTGTTTTTAGCGTGAATGCTGTAGAAGCAATAGAATATTGTCTCCCAGCTGTATGTCTTTGTGTGTGATCGCCGTGAATGTGCTCTCCAGGATGTGAGCGTGCAGTTCGTGATCTCGGGCCTGCTGCACGTGTACCAGCGCATGATTGACCGCGAGGAGGACACGTGCCTGTTCCACACGCACCCTGGCGAGCTGGTAGGCCAGCTAGCCGTGCTGACGGGCGAGCCGCTCATCTTCACGGTGCGCGCCCACCGCGACTGCAGCTTTCTCTCCATCTCCAAGATCCACTTCTACGAGTGCGTATCCGTGCCCTTCCACCGTGTTGGACAGGAATCTGTCAGGGAAATCGGCATCAGGGGAATCTTAGCTGTGTTTAGTTTTTTTTGTATGGATGAGTGTATGAAGTGTGTGAATTTCACGCGCAGTTCTGCCACTTGGCCAGCAGATGGCGCAGTTCTTAAGGACTTTGTGCTTCCTTTGCAGGATCATGCGTGCGGAGCCCAGCGTGGTGCTGAACGTGGCTCACACGGTGGTGCGCCGGATGTCCCCCTTCGTGCGGCAGATCGACTTCGCCCTTGACTGGATGGCCGTGGAAGCTGGCAGGGCCGTCTACAGGTACGCGGGGCGGCCGAGACGATGGAAACGTGACTAGTTCAATACCTGAGTCAGTCAGGGCACTGATGGGAAATATTAAAGATTAATCCTCTGAACAGTAGTTCAATAATATACTTATTTCAGGCTGTATAGTCTGATTGTGTCTCAGTTTATGAGGCTGATACTGACCATGGACGCACGCACCTGAGCGAGGCAGCTTCCGCTCTGACGCACTTCTCCTGAGAGCCGAGTTCGGCTTCAGCCCCCCATCTCCCTGTCAGGCAGGGGGACAAGTCGGACAGCACCTTCATCGTCCTGAGTGGCCGGCTGCGCTCCGTCATCCTCAAGGAGGACGGCAAGAAGGAACTGACGGGGGAGTACGGTCGGGGCGACCTCATCGGAGTGGTGAGAGCCTCGGGTTCGAGGGGAGGGGCGTGTGCTGGGAGAACAGGTCAATACGCGCAGCCTCCCAGAATAGTCCGTGAATGTTATTCCACGATCGGCTTGACATGCAACATCGCCATGGTGACGCCAGCACTGCTAAGAATACCCCCCCGTGCGGGCACCATGGTTACTGACCCCGGAGTTTTCGGATACGGGTCTGGTGTGCCCCCCCCTTTTACACCGGAGGTACAAAACAAGCAGGCCTGTCGCACGTCATCCGCGGTACGCCTGACTGCACATTCGAAACCCCGAGTGGGAACGTCAGTATTAATGGCGGCCTTTAAAAAGAGGAGTTCCTGGAAAAGTCTGCGCGTGACCAGCATGACGATGACCGCATTCCCAGCAAAGTCTGTTTTTTAACGCAAACTGATGATAGTAATGATGATGATGACAGAAGGAGTGGTTTGTACCTGGCCGGGATGCGTTAGACCCGCGTCACGGCTGTCATCCTGCATCCTCAGGTGGAGGCTCTGACCCACCAGAACCGGGCCACCACAGTGCACGCGGTCCGGGACTCGGAGCTGGCCAAGCTTCCGGAAGGTGCCCTCAGCTCCATTAAGAGGAGGTACCCGCAGGTGAGCACCACCCCCTGTGTACTGGATGGGACGGGTGTCCGCCTGCTGCTGGCCCCCTGACCCCCCCCCCCACACCCCCCACACACACACACTTCCAGCTCATTCTGCCTCCTCCTGGTCTAGGTGGTGACCAGATTGATCCATCTGCTCGGGCAGAAGATTTTACAGCAGGTTAACGGTCCCCTGACAGGTCTGTGTGTCGCCTAACCTTGTGTGGTTCATAGACTTTTGGCGTGGGGAGTGTTATTCCCTAAAAGTTCAATATCTTATGCATATGTATTTTGTTAAGAAAATGTTTCCCCCTGTCACCGGTCGCTGTGTGCCTGAGTATCGTTGGGGTGGATCTCTCTTAAACTCTAATGAAGTGACAGCTGGTGTGTGTTTGTGGTGTTCAGTGTGTGTGGGTATCACTGTGTGTACGTGTGTGTGTGTGTGTGCATGTCTGACCCCAGTCTGCATGTGCGGGTATTGCTGTGTGTGTGTGTGTGTGTGCATGTCTGACCCCAGTCTGTGCGTGTGCAGGTATTGCTGTACCTGTATGTGTATGTGCGTGTGTGTGCGTGCCTGACCCCAGTCTGTGCGTGTGCAGGTATTGCTGTACCTGTATGTGTGTGTGCGTGTGTGTGTGTGCCTGACCCCAGTCTGTGCGTGTGCAGGTATTGCTGTACCTGTATGTGTGTGTGCGTGCCTGATCCCAGTCTGTGCGTGTGCAGGTATTGCTGTACCTGTACCTGTATGTGTATGTGCGTGTGAGCGCGTGCCTTACCCCAGTCTGTGCGTGTGCAGTTATTGCTGTACCTGTATGTGTATGTGCGTGTGAGCGCGTGCCTTACCCCAGTCTGTGCGTGTGCAGGTATTGCTGTACCTGTACCTGTATGTGTATGTGCGTGTGTGCGCGTGCCTTACCCCAGTCTGTGCGTGTGCAGGTATTGCTGTACCTGTATGTGTGTGTGCGTGTGAGCGCGTGCCTTACCCCAGTCTGTGCGTGTGCAGGTATTGCTGTACCTGTACCTGTATGTGTATGTGCGTGTGTGCGCGTGCCTGACCCCATTCTGCGTGTGTGTCCCCAGCCCGCAGCCTCACCCTCCACACCCCAGGGAGTAAGTGGGACACGGGAAACCCCGCCTCCAACCTGTCCACCGTCTCCATCCTGCCTGTTTCTGATGAGGTTCCCCTGACCGCCTTCGCCCTGGAGCTGCAGCACGCGCTCAGCGCCATCGGTCAGCCATGTCACCTCATTATTGTTATCAGTCGCGATCAGACCTGCTTTCCAGGATACGGCCTGGACTGTCGGAAAATGAGCAAAAACCCTCTTCTTAGAAACTGAAAAGTTTACAGTTCTGGGAAAAAAATCAAGAAACCACAGGAAAATTTTCAGTTCCACTCATTTCTCGATTTTAGTGTGTGTGTAAAATACACATTTTTTTGCAAACTACAGCCTGCTACTTCCCTGCTTCTTATTGATGAAGGGCTTCTTCCTTGTTTCGTGGGACTTCAGTCCTGCTTCTAGGAGCCTAATATGAATTGTCCTAGCAGTCCACTTCACACCAGTTAATGTTTCCCATTCTTTTTGAAGGTCATCTGATTCTCCTCTGATTTATGAGGCACTGCCAGATATATTGATGGTCATCTCTAGCATTAGAAAGTTGCTTCTGCCCTTTACCTGGCTGGTTTCTGGTCGTTCCCAGTGTCTCCTGCTTCACATTGTTCTTGTGTACTGCTGTCTTAGAAAGTTTGAGCCTGGAAGCTGCCTGCCTCGCAGTGTAGTCCTCTGCCAGCGGAGCTAGGATTAAACCAGGATTTAAACATGCAGATTACAGTGGTCTCAATTTTTTTCTGTGTTCCCTTGAACCACTACCTATTTTTCTTTAAAACAAAACAAAAACTAAACAGTACTGTGAGATGTATGCTGTTAATTGCCCCCATAAACATCATTGTGATTTTGCCATCTACCCTCTCCACTCTCCCAGGACCCACCCTGCTCCTGACCAGTGACATCATCAAACAGCGCCTGGGAGCCGCAGCACTAGACAAGTCAGTAATGCATTCAAAATCCCCCCCACCATCCGCTTAGGGCTCTCATTCAGCTAATGGTGAACCCTGAATGTGAATGTACCCTAACTGAATCCCCCCCCCCAACCGGCTCAGTGTGCACGAGTACCGCCTGTCCAGCTGGCTGGGTCAGCAGGAGGATATCCATCGCATCGTGCTCTACCAATCAGACAGCTCCCTCACACCCTGGACCCAGCGCTGCATCCGGCAGGCCGACAGCATCATTATCGTAGGCCTTGGCGAGCAGGATCCCACCGTGGGGGAGGTAAGGGAGTGGGGGGGGGGCATAGAGGGGGATGGATCGTCCTGCTGTCTGTCTCAGAATTACCGGATGAAGAGGTCTTGTCAGCTTCAGAGCTTGGAGATTGCCAGTGTCAATCTGCTGACGGGTAAAGAGCACCTGTATGCTGATTTATCTTACAGAAATTACAGTGTTATGGGCCATCTTTAAGGCTGATAGAGGATAAAAGGCACATTTCACAAATCAGATTTCAGCTTTTATCCAAAGTGTGCTCACTGGGACTTGAACCCACAACCTTCCCGAAGTTATTGCTCTAGTTGTTGAGCTTCTGGAGCTGTAGGTTGCCAGTGCGTTTCTATGAGAACCCATAGGTTGTCCTGAAATGTCACGTGGAGGTGTGTATGCATGCTCACATCCCCCTCGGGCTGGGGCAGCTACGGCAGAGCGCGGGGTCCTCTTAGTCCCGTCTAACGTGCGTCTTCCCCCAGCTGGAGCGCATGCTAGAGGGAAGTGCGGTGAGAGCCCAAAAGCAGCTGGTCTTGCTGCACCGCGAGGATGGGCCGCCCCCCCAGGGCACCGTGGACTGGCTGAACATGCGCAGCTGGATCTCCAGGCACCTGCACCTGTCCTGCCCCCGCAGGGTGTTCACCAAGAGGAGCCTGCCCAAACTGGTACCCTCAAATCGTGACTGGCCATGCCCCCAGACCCTTCCTTCTCATTGTGGCCATGCCCAAGTCACACCCCCTCACTATAACCACACCACAGCCCCACCCACTTTACCATAGCCACACCCTGCAGCCCTACCTCTCTCAAAATTGCCCTGCCCATAGCCCTGCCCCTCCCACAATAGCCACACCTCAGACCTTGGCCAGTGGTCTTTAGTCCTTATCTTACAACTACAGAATTAGATTTTTATGCTTTATCCTTTTTGATTTTTATCCATGTGTGTGTGTTTGTGTCTGTGTGTTCCTCAGAGGGAGATGTACCAGCGTGTCTTCCAGAAGCCCCCGAACCGCCACTCAGACTTCTCCCGGTTGGCTCGAGTCCTGACAGGGAACGCCATTGCCCTGGTGCTGGGGGGAGGCGGGGCCAGGTATGATGCGTCATCTGTTTGTCCCACCCAGTCCCTGCCAAGTTTCCCCCAATAGGCTACTGCACGACAACCCATCTCCTAGAACCTTCTATAGATTCTCGGTATTTCTTGTTGAAAGTGTGTGATGGCACTGTTCCTCTTTGAATTATTGTATGAGGACCAGAACGGGTCTGCCATGACATTTCCTGGGTCTGGTGCTGGTCCTCTGCCGCTTGCATGACCAGTAGTGCTGACCTGGTTGGCATGGCCTCCCTGAGCTGCTTCTGGCTGGTTCTGTCAGAGGCCCCTCAGCTTTGGCTTTCTCCGACACTCTCCTTCCTCTAACACTCTTCCTCTTCTGCCCTTTTCTTGGTCTTTCTCAGGCAGTTGATCCAGGTGTGTATGCTCTCTCTCTCTCTCGCTCTCTCTCGCGCTCTCTCTCTCTCTCTCTCTCTCTCCTATGTGACTGTGTAGATAAGCTGAACCGAGGCTCTGCAGGTCCACCTTGTACTGGATAAGGGCAGGACAATGACAATTAATGATTGAACTAGTCTGCTTATACATGTCTGACGTGCAGAATAGGCCTTTATCCTTTGTGTCATGTTATGTTTGTGTGTTTGCCTGTACATCACTGGCTCTTTCTAATCTGCCCTCCCCCTCTTTCTTAGGGGCTGCTCCCAGGTGGGCGTAATCCGTGCTCTGAAAGAGGCTGGGATCCCCATTGATCTTTTGGGTGGCACTTCCATTGGCTCCCTGATGGGGGCGCTCTATGCAGAAGACCGTAGCTACAGTCGCATGAGGGTCCGGGCACGGGAATGGGCGATGGTATGTGAGTCTCGGGGGGGAGGTGGTATTCGGGGCAGGCAGAGTGCCCCTCAAGCGACCATTGTCTTTAGTTCAACACGCCTCCCTCTGTTTCTGCCCTCAGGAAATGACCTCAGTCTTCAAAAAGGTTCTGGACCTCACCTACCCTGTCACCTCTATGTTCTCTGGGGCTTCCTTCAACTCCGGCATCTCAAACGTCTTCCAGAGCAAGCAGATCGAGGTGAAGGCAGATAAGAACCTGTCTTTGAATCCTTGAGTTGCCCATCGTTCACGCCTCATCTCACTGCAGGTTTCATAATGAGAAAGTGCATTCTGTACCCACTGTGGTACATTTAATCTGCCTGTAGGTGGCGTCCTCATGGCTTTATTCCTCTCCAGGACCTGTGGATCCCCTACTTCAACATCACCACGGACATCTCGGCCTCCACCATGAGGGTGCACACTGATGGTGTGTCTGTCTGCCTGTCCTTCACCGTCTAGGAAGTTAAACAAAACCTGTTTTTTTTGTGCAGACTAGAAGCAATGCGGTATAGATCTTAATAGACCTATCTGATCATCCCGTGGCATTTCCCCCAAAAGGGGGTGGAGACTAACAGCATTGTTACAGTCATGTGACTCTGTTTCCCAGGCTCCCTGTGGCGTTATGTACGCGCCAGCATGTCCCTTTCCGGCTACCTGCCTCCCCTTTGCGACCCAAAGGACGGGCACCTGCTCATGGACGGGGGTTATATCAACAACCTGCCAGGTCAGCACCCCTCCCCCCCAAGTACCTATAATCTAAATCATAATCAGAGGTGGAAAGTTCAGGTCCAGAAAGTACAAATCCAGACCAAGATCTTGTTTCAACCAACCAGTTGAATATAGAGTGACATTCACAGAGTTCTCAGCTGGTTGGTTGAAACAAAATCTTGGTCTGGATTTGTACTTTCTGGACCTGAACTTTCCACCTCTGCTCATAATCATGCCGTAACATGTGAAGCGTGTGTAAAAGTAAATAAATAACCTGTAAAAGGACTCAAGGTTAAGTGGAGGGGGGCAAAGTGAAATCCACCAGGGCTTCTGGGCTAAGGCTGAACACAACCAAGTTTCCCACTAGACAAATTCTCCCGCACCCCTCCCCATGCAGCGGATGTGGCGCGGTCCATGGGCGCCAAGGTGGTGATCGCCATCGACGTGGGCAGCCAGGACGAGACACACCTCACCAACTATGGTGACTCCCTGTCAGGCTGGTGGCTTCTTTGGAAACGTTTCAACCCGCTAGCCAAGAAAGTGAAGGTGGGGCGTCCATGTGGGGAAGGTTCTCGTCATTCTTCAGTGTCTGTCCACGTCTATTAATGAGTGTTGTTATATGAAACCCCCTAGCTCATCTGCAAATCGCATTAGCGTTAATCAGAGTACCTGGCTCTGGTATGCAGTTTCAGGGTCCCCCGCTGGGACTTGAGTTATCGTTATTATTATTATTGGTGACGAGCCCCTGCTGGTAGATAAATATGAAAGCGATCATGTGACTTGCAGGTGCTGAACATGGCGGAGATCCAGACGCGGCTGGCCTACGTGTGCTGTGTGCGGCATCTGGAGGTGGTGAAGAACAGCGATTACTGCGAGTACATCCGGCCTCCCATCGACCGCTACCGAACGCTGGAGTTCGGCAAGTTCGACGAGATCGCCGTGCGTGTCCTTGCCCTCGTGCACCATGCTGAATATCCACTACAGACAGTAGAAATGGGCCTTCACACCTGGGGTGGGTGGGATTACTGAGTGCTGCTACTCAGCGATTGGTGTAACTGGTTGCCTGTTGTCTTTTATATTGATTCCCATTGGTTTAAATCAGTGATTGACAGCACATGGTAGTCCCACCTTCTGTGGTTTGTGGTGACCCTGGCACTATCCTTGCGGCTCGCCGCCGACTCCTCGTGACGACACTCTACCCTCTTGCCCCGCAGGAGGTGGGCTACCAGCACGGCAAGACCGTGTTTGACGTGTGGTGCCGCAGCGGCGTGGTGGAGAAGATGCTGAAGGACCGGCACCAGGAGGATTTCCGCAACACCAAGAGCAACAACGTGAGTGCGGATGGGCGGGAATGGGGGCGCACGTCCGCACTGCTGCCATGGCGACATCGGGGTCACATGCTGGGAGCTGTTTCACCAGCTCTGCCAGCTGTCAGTGAATATTATGGGGTGTCTTTCTCTGCCCTGCAGGTGGTAACATGTCCCAACGCCTCCTTCACTGACCTGGCGGAGATCGTGTCCCGTATTGAGCCAGTGAAGCAGGTCGTCGTAGATGGTGAGTGGAGCACAGGCGCGGAAGAATTTTGGGGTCTTTTATTCCTGTTGCGTCTCCCTCCTGTTCTCTGTCATATCATGCTCCCCTCATTTTCTCTCTCTTTTCCTTTGTTTTTGCCTCTGTTACTCTCTGATCACTCACCACCCCCCCCCCAGAAGAGTCAGATTACCAGACTGACTATGAGGAAGAGGCAGTGGAGAGTGCCCTCTCTGATACAGAGCTGGCCAATCACCACAGCAAGCACACAGAGGGGGAGGAGACCATAGACTCAGTAAGCCACTCCCCCTGCCCCACCCCAAACTCCTAAATTAAACTTATATTGAGCACTAAGTTACGTTACTCATGCAGGTAAACATGAGAATAGTCCAATGCTGAATAACACAGTGATCCAGAAACACTCATGTTGTTTCTAGGATGATGAACCGGAAATTCGACAGAGACGGAGGCCTATCTAGTCCACAAGAAACCTCACCCTACCGGCCTCACCTGTTGGCCACTGCCCGGACGGAAGAGAAAGCAAAGCCACAAATTTCACCTTGGGGCGGCCCATAGCTGAGAACCTTATGGCATAGGCCAGACTCGAACCTTCTCTTGCAGGTCTTCCTCTGTGTTTTTTTTTCTGTGATGATTGTCATGTTATTTCATCCATCATAATATATTTCATAGCTAGCGAAGCGGAACATGAATGTTGATTCCTCCAAGGAATTGTGGCTGTCCGGATGTGGACCATCTTACCCAAAAAACAAAAAAAAAAAAGCAACCTTCCAAATGTGGTCTCCGCTGCAGATTTCCGTTGCGAGGTTGGTCCGCTGACACCCCGCCATCTGCTCTGAGTTTGTCAGGGACACGGCGGCACGCTGGACGCGTGTGAGGTTTGGAAAGCAGAGTTACATACTCCAGTGTCTTTTGCATACATTTTATCTTCATTCTTCACGTGGTGCGTCAATCTTACCTGAAGCCAAGAAGCTCTCCTAAATGAAGTGCTTGTTTGTGTTTTTTTTATATGTTAAGCCTATCAATGCAAGACCTTTTTTACATTTGTTTTTTGTAAATGAAATTCATTGGTGCCTTTGGCCAGGACAATTTGGACCCAAACTCTGCTTTTAACAGTACTAATACCATTGTTGGTGCACCTGTGCCTCTCCGACATCTCTGATCACCTCTTATGCAGCGAGACGACATTTCTGCTCAGCCCCCAAGTGTATTAGTGTCGGGGAGACTGACTATTCTGGTCCCTATTATCCCTCTTGGAGATTAAGTGTTGTCTCGAACTTTGAGTCTTCCACACGTCTTCTCAGAACACTGCCTCCGGCTGGGTTTGTTATTTGTGACAGTGCTGTCACTCTTCGTGCTACCTGTTCATGTTTGTATTAATGTCAGTTTTAACACTGGCAGACCTCTACCTTCAAAAAGCAGTACATTGCTGTTTTTGTTTTATTTGAAGACTTCTACAGGTAAGGAAATATTATCTCCATCCTTAAATCTGTTTACAGGGCGAACTTACACAGGAATGTGTAGGAGCATTTCAAAGCGTGTCAACTGCTCAATTATCTATTACCGCACGGCTCAGAAGGAGCAGCTGAATGTGTCATTGGGTTTTATGTTGATTTGGGGAGAGGACTGTGAATCTTCTTGAGTAAATAATAAGCTGCTGTTTGAGGAACATTTGCCAGAAAAAATCCACAGTATTACTGTGAGTATGAATAACTAATAATAATAACAAAAATAACCAATAAACTACATATTTTTTGGGAACACTGTGTGTGACATTTATGGGAAGGAGGGTTAGACAACAGAGAAAATGGGCAGAGTTTCACAGAGTTTTGTTGCACATGTACAATGACAAAAAATGATGTTATATGAGAACAGTTAATATATATGTGATTCCTGTTATTCACAGTAGAGATGTACTGGCATGGAAGGCAGACACTGCAGCCCATCTGTAACTGCTTGTCCTGTTTAGGGTTGTGGGGGATCTGGAGACTGTGGGAATGCAAGAGAACAACCTAGGATGGGGGTGCCAACCCATCACAGGACACCCTCACATTCCATTCACTCATAGTATGTTTTTGGACTGTGGGGGGAACCAGAGAACATTCCAAGATGACATAGCTAGAACATACAAACTCTACACATGTGGAACTCAAACCCTGGTCCTAGTGCTAACTGCTGCACCGCCACCTTCAAATAAGGTAAAAAGCAACAGTATGTGAAAACAAACGAGTGTCTCAAGCAGAGAATGGAGTCCGTAGGAAGTCGTGGGTGCTCAGCAGGCCCAGACGCTGTGTCTATTGGAAGGTTGCTGGTTCAGATCCTGTAGTTGGCTGTGTGATTTCACTGTTTGACCCTGGAGCGAAGCCCGTAACCTCTGATTGCTCCAGGGACTGGCTGACCCCGCTCTCTCAGTTGTACATTGCTCTGGATAAAAGCATCTGTTAAATAAATAAATACAGATACTGACAAGAGAGTAATAGCTGGAGGAAGAGTGCTCCATTGGGGGAGATACTCACATTGAGAACATGCTGTGCTGATGCAGGAGCCTGGTTCAAACAGGCCCCCGGGGTCTTCATGGGCCCAGGATGAAAGATCTCATGACATGTAAAGTGTAGATGGGTGTCACTACAGCTGATGTATGACTTTTGCGTTAGTGTGTGACTGGTGTGGGGAGAAGAGGCGTGTTTGTGTAAGATAGTCTGGAGGAGTCAGAAACACATTATTGCTTTTTTTTTTATGCCTTTCTCTAGAGCCGTGTATCAAATGGGCCGCCTCACTTATCCATCAAATCCTCCCTCTGGTTATCTGGAGTCAATATAGCGTAAACAGTTATTGACTCCCCAAGGGAGAGACAGGCTGTGCCACCTATAGTGTGTGTCATGCAGGGAATTAGGACTGAAATAAGCTCTGGAAATAAGCATGAGCTTGGACTCAGTGTGAAGATCATAATTACCTTTTCTGAGTGCCTGGATGATGTTGCTCTGTGTCCCAGGCTATAGTCGACTAACACTTTTAATGTGTGTTTTGTGGCATCTCTTCCGTCCTCCTCATACCTCCTGCCTGTAACTCCTTTGCTTTGAAGACCTCCTGGATCTCCACTGTGAGACACATGGATCAGTATCCTGATTAATCCTAAAATCTGCTCCACGTGGGGGGGCTTGTGAGTCAGGGTGGCTAAACGGATTATAGATCTGGGCAGTGGTTTATAAAGTGATGCTTTTGTTTTGCTTTGTTCTGGATCTAGTGGGCCTAGCTCTGGTATTTGTTTAATAGGGTGTGGAAGATCACTGCAGTAGGACATAAAATCCCATCCCTTAATCGTATCTGGGTTCTGTAGTGTCGAGTTTTGTGGTCAAGAGCTTCTGCTGTTCATTGTTTCACTCACTTGATATGCTCCCCAAAAACAAGGTCAAATTAGATATGCATCAGTACTCGATTGATGACCCTTGCAGAGGAGCTATGAAATTTAACATTGAAAGGAGTCATTTTTTTTAACTTTATCTGATGTCTTGTTACGCTTTGTTCTTTCCAAGTTATCCATCACTTGAAAATGCTCACAGATTACAAAAGGTGAGGACGTCATTGGAGAAAAAAGAGGAATTGTTCTCCACTGGAAGTTCTTGCACCACCCACCAGGTGGCACCATTGTGCAGCTCATTTAGAACTTGCGACATGATAGGATGGCATAGTGAGTGAAGTGGAGTGAAGCCAGCCTTGCAGTTCATGGCTCTGGTAGCCAAACTGTGGTGTTGGTCACAAGTGGATGGGGGAAAAGTCTAGCCCCTTGTTATTTGGACCGGTTCTGACTCAACAGAGCCTTTTAATTAGATGCATCGTGCTCCCAATGTCTCCTGTGGCACGCAGCTGATTAACGAGCTGTTATACAGAAATCAGGTCAGAGAGAGAGCACAATGAGCCAATGGCTGGAGTGGGGGGGGGGGGGGGGGGCGGACTGGATTGATTGAGACTAAAGATGGGGAGATCGATAGGATATGAAAGTGAGTTGATTAAAAGGGAAAGTGGGCTAGTTTGAAAATGGGGACAAGCTGGTGGCAGGGGTAAAAGGGAGGGGGGGGAGGGGGGGTTAGGGCCAGACGGCAGGCAGATGATGGAGAGAACCAGGACCCGGGTCAGGTTGCCAGACTGGACCTCATGCACAAGGAAGAGAGCCAGGCAGGGATTCCGTAGAGACTAGGGATGGAGATCAGATTATGGAGACTGGGGTCAGTTATAGTTGACATCTGGGTTTCGTCATGTCCGTCCACTATCTGCTACTACCCCTTCATTTGAGATATGACTGAATTCCATACATCCGCCACCCTCTCTTCATTCTTCCTTAACATCCCCCCCCCGCCATGAGTGTCCAGGATGCTTGTGCAGGTACTTGGGTCATACAGACCTTGGCTGGAAATGAGTTTTTGACCAGCTGGGCTCTCATTGGTTAGGCAGGCACAGGAAAAGCTGGCAGTCAACCATCTTTTATGAGCCTCTGTAGGTTGTAGTGTTACTGGGATGGTCTGGCTGACCGGATTTCTAAGCCGGCAGTTCAGCTTTGTGAGGAAAACAATGCAGCAATTTGGCATTTTAATCTGAAATTTGTTCTTCATGCTAAAATTCTGCTTTTGTACAATTTGAACAACCAGGCTTCATGCACAAAATGCTTCTAATTTCATATAATCAGATCTGTAATCAACGAACACTGAAAATTGTTATTTGTTGATGCATGGTGAAATGTTAATGCTAATAGATGATTGGTTGGAGTGATCAGGCTTCACATTGGAGCTGATTTGTTGAGGAACCGTGTTGCAAATGAAGCGATTTAGCATGCAGTTTTGCAGTGTTTCCTGACCTGGTCCTCAGAGACCCACAGATAGTTCACGTTTTTGCTCCCTCCGGTAGGGAGCTGGGAAGGAGCAAAAATGTGGACCATTTGTTGGTTCCTGAGGACTGGATTGGAAAGACCCTGCCACAAGAAATGCTGACTCCACGGCCCACTGGTATCGATCGGTCCCCTGCCCCCTTCTGCCAGTTCGGGGCTCCTCCAGCAGCCGTGCGATGGTGAAAGCTGTGGGTTCTGGTATGTGGGGGACCCAGAGGTGCAACAGCTCTGTAAGATCTGCCTCTGCTTTCTTCCTGATGATGAGGACAGATACAGCTCCCACCTCCTGCTCTCTGCCTTCATTGTCTCTTTGTTTCCTTTTCCTGCTCTGATGTCTCAGTTACACATTCTGCTTTGCATTATAATTTGGTCCTGCTGCCGCGCTGTGTTTTGCTCAACAGATATTTTTGTCCAGAGCCGCTTGCAGCCTTTCCTCTTTGAGATGTCTATCCATGCATAGTCTGCCATTGGCATTTCAGGTCACATGATAAAATGTGCCAGTTCCATCTATCAAAAGCGGTGTCCTTTTGGATCTCTCATTCAGGTGGATGCTCTCCTATTTGGGTGGAGACTGGTCGCATTTGGATGCATGCTCTATTATTCGGGTGGAGGCTGGTCGCATTTGGGTGAATGCTCTCTCATTCGGGTGGAGGCTGGTCGCCTTGGGTGAATGCTCTCTCATTTGGGTGGAGGCTGGTCGCATTTGGGTGAATGCTCTCTCATTCGGGTGGAGGCTGGTCGCATTTGGGTGAATGCTCTCTCATTTGGATGGAGGCTGGTCTCATTTGGATGGATGCTCTCTCGTTCGGGTGGAGGCTGGTCACATTTGGGTGAATGCTCTCTCATTTGGGTGGAGGCTGGTCACATTTGGGTGAATGCTCTCTCATTTGGGTGGAGGCTGGTCACATTTGGGTGAATGCTCTCTCGTTCGGGTGGAGGCTGGTCGCATTTGGGTGGATGCTCTCTCGTTCGGGTGGAGGCTGGTCGCATTTGGGTGGATGCTCTCTCGTTCGGGTGGAGGCTGGTCGCATTTGGGTGAATGCTCTCTCATTTGGGTGGAGGCTGGTCTCATTTGGGTGGATGCTCTCTCGTTCGGGTGGAGGCTGGTCTCATTGTTACCCTCTGTGAAACCTTGCATTTTTCATCATGCTTCAATCCCACATTATGCTGCTGGCTGATTGCTAGGAGGTGTTTTTAAGGGATTCACCAGGCTCTCCCTAATTTCTAAAATGTTGCACCAGTCTGAATGTCATTCAGTACCAAGAAAAATATTTGTCTACACAGGCAAGCTTATGCACACATCACAGAAACAGTGGGTGGCAAATTCATTTGTGGGAGTAAGTTTGACTCTTAGGAGGCAATAATAATAATGATAATAATAATAATTATATATATATATATATATATATATATATATATATCTAATTTGTCAAAATGCTTCAAGGTGAGACTGCACTCAGTAATGCATTATAGCTTATGGGTGAACTGGTGAGTGAACTTAATGTCCTTGCTGTCCCATATACGTTAATGCGTTCTGTCTGAGATCTACCCTGCATTTGTGTCCTGTGCATCCTGTGACCTGCCTGCGAGGGAACAGCTCGTTCATAAGAGAGATGGTGTATGACTGACTCCTCCCTGGCTCTGTGAAACTTTTCCACACTGATGGATCCAAGCATTGCATAAATCCCACAAGGCAGCTGGGTTTATGCTGAGGTAACTCGCAGTTTCAGTGCCTTACACCTAAAAAATTGATCACGTTTCATTCTATTTGGGGAACAAAATAGCCCCCAGTTGTCATTTTTTAGCAAGGAAGTCTTTCTGTCTTTTTTACGGCTCATTCCAAAAGGTCAGGCTTCCAGGATACAATGCACGACCCGGCTAA